TGTGTGTGTGTGCGTGTGCGTGTGTACTTAGTAAGTGTGTACTTACCGATGTACACTAAATGCAGTATACAGCTGTGTACAGTATATACTATTACTATTACATATATGTGGGGTATATCTTTTGGCCAAACGATATTATTGTGTTGCAATTGGATGTCAGGTTATGTGATATGTGCGGATGTGCCTCGGGTGACATGACTCGCTATTGGGAACAAATGGCTGATCGCCTGAAGGTGTGTACATACATTGTCGGATGTATTGGTATCTCAGTATCTACATCACATGCATGTGATATAAATGGTCATTTGTCGGATAACACTTAATCAAGTGTCGGCCAACAACTGCATGATGGACACGATCGACGGGAGCTTCCGGCAAGGGGTTGCAAGACCAAAAGGGCGGATTCTGAGAGGTAGTCTTGACATGATTAGCACATTGCATATGGTAAGTTGTGGTTGCTGACTATTGTTCGCTTTGATCCGTATCTCACTCGGTTTGACTCGCAATTCCTGCCGTAGTACCCTGATGTCCTCGTTGTACCTGCCTCGTCGCATTGGAAAAACGGCCGTCCCCATCCTACAGCTCACACACATCCACACGGTACATGCGTTTTTCTGCATCTGCCGAGGAGGATGTCTGTGAGCGTGTTTGTAGCCTGGCATGATTGTGGATTCGCAGTGAGCCTTTGCCAGGCCTTGTCACCGCTCATAAGCCGAGCTACAGCCGTTCCAAAATCAAGCAGCTGGCAAGGCTAACCGACTGCAGGATTGGGTGCGCGATGCTTCGTCTCGGGTATTCCTGCTTGGTCGCAGGTGCACATGAAAGAGGAGAAAGATTGACAGTGACGGCATGTCGGACAAGCGTCCGATTCAGAAAGGACGACTCCGTTAGCGAGCCGTCATCATGGTAAGCAATATGCGGGGCCCATATAGGGCTGCATGAGCCGGGAGCACTCATGTCAAGGTCTAGCTCTGGAGAAAGAAAAAAAATTTAAAATAAATCAAAACCATGGTGGTGACAACGAGCGGCAAAGTCCGCTGTCAAGGCGTGGGAAGTTTGAATATCCCCAGCTGTGTGAACATGTCACTTGCTGACGCTCGTGACGCGGGATGCTGCACTTTATGCCGGTGTGCATAATATCAAAGTGAGAAAAGACCCGAAAGGATATGCACGACATGAATGAGACGTATCGGTGTGGGCTATGGCAGAGAGGCCATCCTGGTCGGGGACAATATTGAATTGAATCTACGGCTAGGGTGTTGCGTGTTGGTTTGGGTGCGTCCATGTCACGAGCAGGTCGGTGCTGCAAAGTGTGAATCTTGTTGCTGCATGTTGAGGACGGCGTGGGTGCTAGGGACGGGTCAGGACGCATGCATGCAAGCCGTGTGCTTGGTAAGTAGGATATAGAGAGCCATGTGAGCAGGCGATCAAAGTGCAACAGCCGTAGAGCCAGAGTTGGGGTGTGAGAAGGTGAGAGAGAAAGCGTCCTTTTTTTAGCGTGGCACTAGACGCGCCCTGATTGGCCACGACGACGTGTCCCCGAGGCGAGACTGCTCGCGGCGCCGCCTTGTCTTCTCATCCGCATTTAGCATCCAAACATGTCCCTACCACAAGACATCCCAACCCCCGACAATGCCTTTTATGTGCTCGTCACGGGCGCCAACAGGTTTGCACCTCGAACACGCTAGGCTCGGTGGCACACAGTTGACTCGTTTTGCAGCGGCCTCGGCCTCGGGATCGGGACTCGGCTGATTGATGAGTTTCTCCAGACCCGGCCCCAGACGGAATCCCTCGTCCTCATCATCACCACACGCGATCAGCGCAAAGGCGACGCCACGATTTATAGGCTAGAGCAGCACCTGGCAAACACCATCCGCTCCCATGAGCGCAAGCTCCCAGGCATTGCTCAGGTTCTGCGCAACCGTGTACACTTTCGGCAGGAGCGCTTAGATCTGCTGAGTCTGGTCTCGGTGCAGAAGCTTAGCAAAAAGCTACGAGAGACGACGCCTAAGCTCGACGTTCTCATCTGCAATGCTGGCATTGGCGGCTGGACGGGGGTCGATTGGCTCCAGGCCATTTGGACCATCCTCACCAATTGGAGCCATGCCATAACCTGGCCTACCTACAAGATCTCTGGTATTGGATGGCTTGCAAAGCCCCAGATACAAGCGGAAAAGGAGGTGGAAGAGCCGCCTCTAGGCCAAGTCTTCTGTGCTAATGTCTTTGGTCACTACCTGCTAGGCCATTACCTTGCACCGCTGCTGGCCAAGCACCCCAAGAGCAATAAGACGAGGGGCCGCATCATCTGGGTCAGCAGCCTTGAAGCCTACGACCACGTGTTTGATGTACAGGATATACAAGGTATCCTTTCTAACATGCCATACGAGGTCAGCAAGCGCCTGACAGACGTCTTGGCCATTTCGTCGAGGCTACCGCGTACAAGGCAATCCGTGGCCCAATATCTGGAGCCAGCCAAAGACAAAGGCGAAGCCAAGGACGAGGATGATGAGGAGACGACGGAGCCACGGCTGTACGTCACCCACCCGGGGATTTGCGGAACGGCGATTATGCCACTCCCGCTGATACTTGAATACTGCATGCTGATTGCTTTTTACGTGGCGCGGTGGGTGGGCAGTCAGTGGCATACGGTCAGCGTGGAGAAGGGGGCGACGGCCATGGTGTGGCTGGCGCTTGTGAGTCAGAGCACCCTAGACAGCATCGAGGCAAACGAGGGCGTGGGCAAATGGGGGAGTGCAACAGACTTTTGGGGACAGGAGCGTGTAGATCGCACCGAGGTGCCGGGGTGGGGTTGGGGGGGCAAGATTGGGGAAGAGGGGAGGAGGAGGAGAGGCAGGGATCCGTATGCAAAGGACCTGTGCAAGGAGAGCCAGGAGCGGTTTGTCGAGACTGGGACCAAATGCTGGGAACAGATGGAAAGGCTGCGTGTCGAATGGGAGGATCGGCTGCGTAGCGCTGGAGTCGGTGTGGACATGTAGTGAGGCAGCAATCTTGTTGGCACATGGAAGAACCGGGGCAGATAGGCAGACATGCAGACATGCAGGCAGGCAGGCAGACAGGGTGTATGTTGAGTATATACGTACGTACATACGTATGTGGATAGACATGTAAGTACATGTGCATGGTACGGTATGTGGGTGTCATTGGCACTGTTTCTAATGGGGTGTAATGTTGGCGGTGGTGCTCATGGTTGATATTGGGTGAAGGAGCAGCAAAGTTTGGGCTAAGTAGAGTCGCCATGCTTGCCCCGCTCCTGCATGCAACAATGTCATGCTCAAAGGCCCAGTCAGAGAGCGCAAAAGGTCGACGAGGTGAAGAGGGCGCATTGCAGGTACATGTACTAGCTAGCGACCGACATGAGTCCGAGCATCGGAGAATAGTCCGACGGGCGATCACTGAAGATGGAGTATGTAGTCTGTATACATAGTTGTTACTATGTGCTAAGTAAGTAGGTGCTGGTCTACTGATATGGCCGACTTGAGGCGCGGGCCTGTGCCGGCTCGGGTTGACAGGTGAAGGGTGGGTGCTAGCCGATGGCTCAACAGCCCGAGTGGGTGGATGGCGTGCGGCTCGCGAGCAAAAAAGCCCCGACGACAAGTTGCCAAAGCAACTGAGGCGAAGGAAAAGTATATTGTCATGACACCCGTGGCCCGTCGGGCGTGTGTGTCCATGAGTGGGAGCAGTGTGGATGGCAGCTTGGCAAAGCAGCCAAGCACGTGACGGAACCATCCATGAGCGCAGAGCCAGCCCAGCGCTACTGAGGACAGCCGGGCCCAGCCCAGCGATGCCCAGAGACAGCCACGGCCCTAGGGACGCGCCGCCCGTTTTACTATGGGAGGCGGCCGTCCAACAGCAAGGCGAGCTGGCACGTCCGTGTTTGGATGGACACGGAGCATGTGTGTGCGAGTATGGACGGATGTGCATGTGTGATGTGGAGAGAGAGGGAGAGCGAGGGAGGGAGGGGTAAGGGGGGTGTTCGTGACGCCATGCAGGCCTCATGCAGGCCGGGCAGGGAGGCAGGCGGGTGCCCAAGGACAAGGGCGGGCGGCGCCCCCTCCTCTCCCCACGCACTCGCCGCCGGCGGATGGTTGCGCTGGAAACGCGCATGGTGGAAAAGTGGCCAGTGGCCAGTGGCCAGCTACTAATAAAAGGCGGGCGCCCAACATGCAATGGCAGCATAGCAGCCCGTTGGACTGGGCCGTTCCCTAATAAAATGCTAGGTGTACCAGTAGAGCACTGCCAAGGGCTCCCCGTTGTGCCTCTGCCTTCCACTTGCCCCTTCCCCTTCTCGCTTGACCCTTCAGGGCTTAAGGCGGCTCCCCGTGGCAGGTGGCGGTGGTGGTGGTGGCGGCGGCGGCGGCCTTGATGCCCGATTCATCCCCCCCCTTTGAACATTGCAACTGTGCCATTGACCCCAAGTCCACTCTTGATGTGCACCACCACTATCACCACCACCACCACCACTGCTCCTCGACGTGCGCAAGCAAGCCCCGTATCGTGCGCCCTCGTTCTTATTCTTCTTTCTCATCGTCACATTGCTTTTGCCACACTTGCGCGTGTCATCACGCGTCCTAATGCAGCCTAGACACTAACCCAAATACTCAGCCGCAACCTCTCCTCTCCCACAATCGCAAGCACTGTATATACACACAAACACTATATACATACATACATACACACGCGCACGTGCGAGGAGGGCACAGTACAATTCACAGCTACGCGTCTAGCAACCAATCAATGGAACCCAAGGGCGATCCGCTCCCGAGCGACTTCCCTCCCATCTTCACACGCGACACTTCACTTGGCGCCCTCTTGCGCGCACTCCCGTCATACATTGTGCCCGCACACGACTCGACATTTACAACCGCCTAGCTCCATTGTGCTAGAAACAAGGTCGTGATTCTGGCCTCTGGTTCCCTCATTTTTATTCCCCGCTTGAAGCCAAAACCCACGCCGTCTGTGTTTAGAATCCCTACACCAACATGTCTACTTCGCCCTCTCTGCGCTCCTCCTCGTTTGGAGACAGGCCGAGACCCTCTACGCCAGACTCCATACCATCTGCCGCCTCACGGGGGTCCTATTTCTCTGTTGCCCCCAAGTCCGAATACCTCAAAAATGCAATCCATGCACGGAGGGCCCAGCCAAGTCCATCGCTACCCCCTCAGGATTTGATACCCAAGCCTTCTTCGCCTGCGCCAAGCTCCCCACAACAAACAACGGCCCGAGTCTCACCGGATATCTTTCTCCAGTATGCTCTGTCCGAAGAACAAACGGCGCCTGTTTCTCCCGTCCAGCGGAAACGACCCTCCGACTTTGGCTATGCGACATCCAAGACGAACAGGGAGCTCAGCAAGGAGATTGAAAGACTCAAGGAAAGCCTCATGACTGCCAATTTGCGGGTGGAGTTGCTCAGCAGGAACAAAAAGGAATCACAAGACAAACTTGCCTCGGCCTTGGAAACGATAGAGCGCCTTGAGTCCATCGAAGACGAGGTCCATGATCTTCGCGCTGAAAATAAGAAACTAAAGCTTAGAGTCAACAGCATGAAAGAGGAAATGGCACGCCTCAACAAAGTCAACGAGGACCATCGCAAGATCAACGAGGAACTCACTACCATAGCAAGCGAGAGTGCTGCACACTGGTCGGCTCACGAATCCGCCATTGACGAAGCAGCTGAATGCATCATCAAGATGGAAGAGGAGAAAGCTGCCCTGTCCCAGGAACTTCAGGAGCTCAAGGAGCGAGTCGCTGCTATTGAACGCGTCTCTTCCGAAACCCCGCTCGCCCTTGGCCTTGACAAATATCCATCGCGTGTCTACAGCGTCGACGAATCGCGGCCCTCGACTAGCCATTTTGACTCGGACTACTATAGTCAACCTGATTCACCCCAGCCAAAACCAAGCAGCGAATCGGTCAATTCCTTGAGACCTTCGGAGCGATCAAGAAAGTTCCTTGATTCGACCGAGCAACACAGACGATCAGCTCGCAGTCTGGTCCAGCGCATGTCGGCAGCATCCCTAAGAGCACTTTCCGAGGCAACTCCGTGTCCTACCTACCAACAGCAAATTGCTACTGTCGAAGAAGAAGATAGATCGCCTACTCCCCGGAAGGCTTCTGTACAGCGCCGCAGGGGCCATGATGCTGCTTCACCGACTTTGATGCCTGCGGCAGAAATTTGCTCTTCTCGACCCCATACCGTGACGCCATACGCAGAGACAACACCCCATCCAGATGGCCTTCGTGCCCTGTATCATCCTGATCGAGCTAGGAACCGCAGAGCAAATAACCTCCGCTCATCTTCAGGCCAATTCGATAGCCCTACAAATTTACATCGTCTTGCCACTCGTCCACAGACTACATACGAAACATGGCAACGGCCTGGATTTGCAGAGTCTGAAGTCGATCTCACATCAGTAGTCGATCCGTTAGAAGACAAAGAGCGGTGGTGGCGTAGCATGGACCGCTTAAATATTGACCATGTAATTGCTCGCTACACAACATTGGAATGAATGGCCCCGATCTAACATGAATCCAGCAACTATCCAAACCCGAGAACCGGCGAAGTTCAATGCTTTCGTCACTCCGATCGGATCGATGATGAATGAAAAGGAACTTTGACGAAGTAAGAACTCATGTGCTTCAGCCAAGGCTAAGTTGCCGCATGTCTGTCTCTCTTCGCTAAACCTACTTGTCACAGGTGGAAGAGGGCGAACCGGTTCGTTCTGGATGACGTGCTGTATCAAAAGGTTGCTGTAATACCCTAATGATGTCTACGACCTTTAATATTTTCTTTACATCCTTCAACTGGCGTTTTTACCAAAGAAGGAACCAATCAGAACGTACTCCATATCAGGAGGATAATGACGGCTAGGCGTAACATCAACGGTGCATCAACATCATGAAGCACGGTTTTGGGTAAGTGTCTTTGTCCACTTGGAGTTTAGTCAAGCAGGTATATACTTTTGATACCCTGAAACTACATTGTTTCGATGTGACTTGACAAAGTACATCCGTGTTTGTACAATTATTATCATTATTATTATTATTATTATTATCGCTATTAGTATTAGTATAGTTAATCCACTCTATTTCGATCAATACATTTCTACTACTCTCAATCTTCTGTGAAGAAGGAGTATATGGTATATGATTCATTACCATCACCACGTGTAAGATGTGATCACTTGTACGTGCCTCTATCTTATTCTAACAAAGAACAGGTTCCTATCTCTGCACAAGTACAAAAACGAGATAGACAAACATCCGCAAAAGTACATGGGCCATTTTCACATGTCCATGCTTTGCTTTTTTCTCTCCATTTTTCCTTCTTTCCCGCCACCACGTAGGTGTTGTGGTTCAAGAGCAAAAGTAACATATTGATGCAGCAACTTTTGTCTTGTTTGCGCGCTCACGCACAGGCGCCTTTGCACATGCCGCGCGCCTGTTTCCGTTTCCTGAACACCCCTGCCCCCACACTTCCCCATCGTCATCGGACAGCTTCCACTCTCGTGTTATCCCCATCTTTCCTTTGACTCCCCCATTTTTACCACCACCCGCGCCCTCTTTCTTTGTCTCACGCACGCGCAGAAACTGCCCCAAACAACGCATCAGATATGCGCTCTTCGCCGTAATCCACCTCGCCCTACACTTTTTTTACCCTTTCGTACACGTGCGATTTGACAAGCGACCGGCGCAATGATATCCTCTGGCTTCACCAATGCGCCCGTCTCGCAGCTCCTCGTCTTCGGCGCTGTCATTACAGCCCTCCTGGCTACACTCACCGATACAAGATACTACCTGCACATACTCGTTGTGCCACACATATGGGGTTATGGCCAGTTTTGGCGTTTTGTAACGTGGCAGGTACGTTTTGGCTACAACTGTCTATTCTGGAGGGGATGTGAAAAGAGGGAAATGCATGAGGAGACCAAAGAAGCTAACACTGAAGAATAATTAGGCTAGCTACACAAATTCCACAGAGGTGCTATTCGCAGTTATTTCGTTCTACCAACTACGCGTTATAGAGCGATTATGGGGAAGTCGCAAGTTTGCCGTAAGTTTTGTCCTGTTTCTATTACTCGCCAAAAGAAGCGATCTCTTTTATAAAAGGCAACAGTAGCTAACAGGATACCCTGATTGAAACAGTCGTTCCTCGTTTCGACTCTACCATACACCACACTCCTACCACCTCTCATCCTAACTTTTGTCTTGCGACCCCTCACATTTGGGCATATGAATCACCTCCCCGCCGGACCCACCGCCATGCTCTTCGCCCTCGTCGCAAACTACTACGCTGCCGTCCCATACACATATCGCTATAGCATCTCTCCCTGGGCACCTACCACAACTACCTCCGCATCCTCCTCACAATCTATAACTGCCCTCTGGTCGCGCAGTTTGACGCTAACGTCAAAATCGCTCTCCTACCTCGCCCCTCTACAGCTCGCCTTCTCGCAATTCCCCGGTTCCTTGATCGCGGCTGCCATTGGCTGGGGTGTCGGCACCGCATACCGGCGAGACCTGCTCCCTGGGGCTACTCGCTGGCGCGTCCCCGGATGGATGGTCGGCGAAGAGAATCGCGATTCGAGAGGCTTTGAGGGGCTGAGAGCGAGATTGGACGCAGAGAGGGAGAGAGAGGGCGGGACTGGGGATGGACTCGCGACGGGGATATTGGCGGGAGAAACGGGAAATGCTCAGCAGGCCAGGCAGAGGAGAACGCTAGGCGATGTTGTGGCCGAGCAGTTCAGAGGGAGGGGATAGGCCTTCTTTTTTGCTATTACTTCTGGTGTTTCTGGTTTCGTATGAGATAGATGTGGCTGGTAGAGGATGCACATGTATATATTTGGTCAAATGATTGTGGATTGCCATGGCTATGAAGAAGAAGAAGAAGAAGAAGAAGAATCGAAAGAGAACCTAGTCATGTGCGACAATATAGCATATATTGATCATTTCACCCTCTCTGTTTTCACCTTTTCCAACTTTTGATCCTGACTCTTTTTACATGTTGGCTCCCCACAAAGATCAAAAGAATCATTCTCAAAGCAGCAGAAGCAGTCAAGTATACATATCATACATCTTGTTGCACAACACGAGCAAGATAAATCTAATACGTCGGTACATGGCGTCATGCACTCTGACTTGCAGCAGAACAACTATCATTGGATTACAAGATAAAAAAAAATGTATTCATTGAAATAGATTGACAATGTTTGATGCACCATTACAGCGTACCCCCGAAAAGATAATGCCCATCATAAAACCCAACAAGGCCCATTGCTAGTGTCACCAGAAACGCCGTCGTCATCATGCAAGACCAAAGATCTGTCTTCTTAAGGATTAAATACTTAGTGCTTGCCCCTGTCGTCACTGCGCGCGGCATTCTTCTTCTTCTCAGCCAATGCCTTCTCGTGCGCAGCAAGTTTCTCCTCGGGGGAACCGTCCTCCTTGAACACCTTTGCGCGGTCAACAGAGCCAGGAATGTGCTCGGGGAGCTCGCTGCGGCCGATGAGCGTAACCAAGATGCTGGCGCCGACAATCATGGTGAGAACAAAGCGATACACGGCGTACCAGTCGGGAGTCCAGCCACGGTATGCAGCTCCTATGGTTCTTATGTTAGTCATCGAATACACGCAAAAAGAACAAAGGAAGGAAGTAACGTTATGGTGGAAATACTCACGGGTATCGACATAGTAAAGCGCAGTGAAGCTCAGGAATTGAGTAATCAGTGCACCCTCAATAGGCATCATGAGCGTCGACCAGGCCACCATAGGCGTCACGACACCAATGGCATACCGCTTGTACCCTTGGTAACCGCCGTAACCCGCCCACTCGAGTCCCCAGTGAATAGCACCCAGAAAGCTGAGAATCGACGCGCCGTATCCGACTTGAAGAGGCTCAATCAGATGCAGCAGGTACGTAGCGTTCTTCTCGGAAATCATAAAGCCGTAGCCGGCAACCGAGTGGTTGAGTTCCCACGACAGGTAGACGGTTGAGATCGAGGTTGCGAGGTAAGGAAGCGTGCCGGCGAGGCCCAGATAGAATGCTTCGCGGGGGACGGCAGCAAGGGAAAATGTGTCTTTGACCGTGTTCTTAATCCCCCCGCCAAATGGTTAGCTACATGAACTGCACATTTTCTTTTGTTAAGGGCAGGACAGCCCGAATACATACCAGATCGTGCTTCATATCAGCCATCATATCCACATCCTTCTGCGGGTCATCGGCGGTGCCAATCTCAGAGAAAATAGGATGTGTAGTACTGCTACTCGTAACCGTCTCGGGCGTAGGTTCTATCTTCTCATTCCTGTATCTGCTCTCCGCCTGCTTCTGGCCCTCCGTCAACTTGCCATCCGCCATGCACCGGCGCAGGATGGCGGATGAGGCCGGCTTCAGCGCACTTGCTGCTTGACGCAGCTGCGGCCTCTTCGCAGCCAGTGACCCAAACTGTGTTTGCCATTGCAGTGACGGCGCCGTGCGGGAGAAGCATGCCGCTGGCCGGACAGACGTAGGTGCCGCGACGGACCTTAACGCTAGACGCGACGCTCCGTTGCGAAGCATATTTAGATATATGGTGATAAGAGCGGGGAGTAGCACACAGGGGGGGGGAAGGGGGAAAAAAAAGAGAAAAGGCGCGCGCGGATAATAGACTGGGTGAATCCACACACACACAGACGGACAGACAGATACGCACACGCACACACTGCAGGAGAACAAGAAGCCGAATATGGAAAAAGAAAAGTAAGAAGAGAATATAGAGAGAGAGCAGGAAAAGGCTCAACTTTGCATTCGTGATTGAACATGTAAGATCCCCCGCAAAATGACGCGCGACACTGCTGTGACGTCATGCTTTGATCCTGAGCTACAACTACATCACAACGCCGGCCATGTTTCGGCATCGTAGCCGCTATCCTTGCAAAGCGGTGGATCGAGATGGTCCTGAGACCCATAAATATCTTGGGCATACTGTCGAAATCAGGCAATCAGTCTTTTCACTGTCGTTCACAGAGTCGGCCCGACGGCCTCGAGGCAAAGTCCACCTATCCCTGTTTTCAGCTGGTTATCAAGATACCGAAGTACCATGAGCCGGCCGGTAACATCACATCTACTAATCAATGACTGCATTGAGTGTCGATAGAAATTTTCATTGCCTTAGGTCGTAGAGTAAAAGAAAGGTCAAAGAGTAAAGAGTACACATTACAAAGAATCATTCCGTACAAACCAAAAAAACCCACGCTATGCTGTGTACTGAGAATCAAATTATGCCTCGGGATCCACCACCCCTTCTAGCCATTCCAATCAACCCTTCGCATTCCATCGGTCATTGTACGCGTTGACCCCCACAGCAACCTGGCGGTAGAACCAGTTCCTGCTTCCCTCGTCACTGACAGGAATGAATGGCCCATTTGTACCCCCTTGAAGCGTAATGGCCAATCCTGTCCTCTCTTTGCTGATGGTCTGTACATCCTTGAGTGGCACATCCCACTCAGTTTGCAGCTTCTTCGTGCGCACCATCATGAGACCATTGTACGTGAGCATGACGAGCATCTCCTTGTTTTGCAGCTCGAGATGCGCAATGTAGTCCTCGTTGAAGTATTTGCCGTTGTCAAGCGTCTTCAACCAAAATTGTCCAAGCGCTTCTCGCTGAGAGTACGGTCGCACAATGCCATCCGTGCCGATGAAACGCGTTAGGCGCACACGGTCGAGGCCCTCTTGGTCAAACACTGTGGTTGTATTGCGCACGCCTTCAGCCATGTTGGATGCAAGATCAAAGGCTCCAATCGCAGCCTTAGTAGGTACACCAAGCAGCCCCTTTCCGACACCTTTGACAAAACCAAGAGCACCCTCCTTTTCTGCCCCTTGAATGGGGTGGCGAGCAAGGCCACCGAGCCCACTAGCTAGACTGCTGGCAAAAGCATTGCCACCGGACGTGATACCGTAAAGGGCATGCTTGGGCCGGTTGCGGGAGCGGGACATGCGACGCGAATCCTGGAACTCCTTGTCCAGAGTTGCCGCAGAGAGACCCTTTGACATGCTGCCAGTAAATTTGGCCATACTGTCCGAGAAGCCAAACACCGATTTCTTGACAAAACTCGATGCACCCTTTGCGATACCGATACCAAGATCCTCAGGACGATCAGATTTGACCAGGCCCTGGTACGGCTCGTAGAAGATATCCGCAACACCAGAGCTGATGTTGTTGAAGAGACCGACTGGGTTACCGAGGAAGTCGGCAGATCCAATAATCACATGGACTTGTCGCAGTGACTCCTGAACATAGTGGTTCTTGATATTGTTGATCAATGCGGTTGTCGAGATGCGGGCGTTCTCAAGCATCAACGAGTTGTATCGTACCGGCGCATCGTTGACATTGCCAATCGACATGGTAAGAACGTTGACTGCGAACATGAATGGGTTGGAAGTAGTCATGGTGTCTTCTGCATTGATACGCTCCGTCCGGACAAACGAAAGGTCGATTTGCATAGGCTGAAGGTGTAGAAGCTCGAAGTAGACATCTTGGCCAGACTGTTCTTGCTTTGGCTCGGGAATACTGAGGTTTTCATCCCACAGCTTGCCTTGCTTCTCTTCAGTCCAAGATGCGCCCGGTATATTCGCAAAGTCAATCATAGCAAAGATGAAGTCTTCATCGATTTCGACAGTCATCTGCTGAAGCAAGAATGTGAAGTACTTGATGTACAAGACACCATACGAGTCATCCTTGACTTTGGTGATGGTGGTCTGGAAGATCGGATGTGCCTCCATCTCCTTTCCGGTCTTTGGAACAACACTGGGATAGAAGATGATGGGGAAGATACCGCCGTAAAGCTGATTGTCGACCTGGATCCACTTGACCTGCATATTGACCATCTGATACAGCGGTGAGTCTGAGTACTTCAGCTCAATATCGCGGAGCGTAACGTAGACCAGCTCCTTTAGATGACGATTGACAAGCGAAATGCCAATGCCAGCAAGTCGTAGCTGTGCTTTGAAGGTAACATCTGTATCCATGTCCTTGACTTCGAACCCGGTCGTTGTTGACGATGACCCTGCAGACTTTTGCTTATACATACTCTTGGAGGGCTTGTAATTTGCAATTTCCAGAGTCTGTGTAGGACCTGCAGCAACGACGTTGAGATCAATAACCTTCATGCCTCCGCCCTCTTGACCAGGTGGAATCTTGAATGGAATGAGCGGCCCAATCTCGGCGAGTTTGACATGTCGCTCTCGACCATTGGCACTAATTACAATTTCCTTGTTCCTCGCTGCCGGGAAATCCCATGCATATGGCATAATGCTCCGAGGAGGCAGACGGTACCTGATTGGCCGGAAGCCAGAGCCGCGGTCATCTTCATCCTCATCCAGGTTTGGGTTCACTTGCCAGTACAAGAACTCCTGATCGCTCATGTTCTTGAAAGAGAATGGCCAGTGCTTGTTCTCAACACTGATGTGACAGAATATGGTTGCTGCTTCCATGAGAATGTCTACACGGACGAGCTTTTGGCGTTGGCCAGCCTTGGAAAGCTTGACGTGTACGTTGCCAACATTGGAGATATTAAAGGGTGATGACCATTGGTTGTTAACGCCGGGGTAACAGAGTGACAGCTGGGGTGCGCCGCCTTGTCGCAACCATCGAAGCGGGAAGAGCTCGCCATCCTTCACCGTCATCCAGTCAGATTGGCCAGGTTCACGGATAAGCAACTCTTCCTTCATCTTGTTGTTGATGATGAAGCGCGGTGCGATGGAGACCGTCTTGGTCAAGTTGTACT